TCTCCAACAACGCACCATTTGCATAAAAACGTAGCACTATTAACAGTAATGCGGGTGTCAATGCTGCGTTGTGGTCCGACACAAACTGTAAGTCAGGTGACAGCCCTTCAACAAGTTCATAGCTATATAGGCTATATCTCTCCGACAGAATGGAAACCTCTCAATCAGTTCCTCATCCTTGTAAATTTCCAATGGTTTGCTTCTGTCCCTAATAACTCTCTCCCGTCTAAAAGATCCTTGTAAAGTCTGTGCTCCTGAGAATCGTTATTACCCCCAATCCTATTCAATTATTCAAGGTCAACTACAATAATTTAATTAACCAAATAGAACAGGACGTGAAGAGATGGGAGATCCTCCCCCTCTCATTATTAGGTAGAATTGAGACGGTAAAAATGAACCTACTACCTAGACTTTTCTTTATCTTTCAATCCCTGCCACTAAGAAAACCTGTTTCTACCTTCAACATGCTGGATAGACTAATCTCTACATTTATCTGGCAAAAGAAGAGGCAGAGAGTACAGATAAAAACACTCCATTTGCCTAAAGACAGGGGAGGTGGTCTGGGTCTGCCAATCTTAAAAAAGTATTACTGGGATGCACAAATAAACGCAGTAGTGGCGCGGACTGGGAACGACCCGGAGGCCATATGGACTCAGATGGAGCAGAGCTCAACTAGAGAAGTCAATTCTACCATTTATTATTACCGAATCAATCAAAAAATAAAATTAAATAGAGAATAAATGGATGAAACAGACACGAAGGTTTGGACAGCAGTTAAGAAAACACTTGAGGGACCAAAATCAATTTCAAGAGCCATGCCGATAGTAGGAAAAATAGACTTCACCCCCACCCATGTGGGATAATGGGTTTAAGAGGTGGGCTGTTAGGGGTCTTTGTACAATCAACCAACTCTTTCAAGGAACAGTATTCAAAAAAATTTCCCAGCTCCAGGAACAATTTAACCTCCCATCAAAAGATCTGTATTTCCAGATAAGACACGATATCATATTAAGGAAAAACTATATTAAGGAAAAATGGGAACTGGAATTAAATCTTATAATTGAAAATTTTAAATGGGTTGACATATGCACAAGATGTTATAAAGGAATTAATAGCCAACTGTGGAAGGAATTTGACTGGAAGATAAAGAATCATTTCCTCATATACAAAAGGTCAAACCTTGGCACAGTGTTGGCGAAAATGTGGAAAAGTAGGGGACACCAAGCACGTCTTTTGGGACTGTCCGATAATCCAATGTTTTTGGAAGAACGTTAAAAAAGAAGTTGATAGTATTTTAGGGGTGGATGTCCCTCCAGACCCGATACTGTTTTTGCTGGGGGCCATACCCAAAAATCTATATAATCCAGATCAAAGATATACAGTCCCCTCCAAAGGTATTGGAACGGGAAGGCAAATTCCTTTTTGTTGTTGTTGTTGTTTTTGTTTTTCACTGAAGACATTTGGGTTTAAGATCAAAAGATGAGACAAGAGTTCAGAATTTCAGCTCCCATTTCCTGGTATTCACATCTAGATGTGTTAAACAACTCAGGACATACCACCCTTTGTTTGAACCCACCCATTTTTCAAGTGAGCAAAACTATTGGAACATGTGACTGCCAGATGTTTCTTGTTGCCCAGGTGTTGCCTTTTAGGTTGATTGTCCAAACAGAGCCCTCTGCTCCGGCAGTCACTCCTCTGCAGCCTCCCGTCAGTCTTGCACACAGCAGCAGACGAGTCCAGCAAGAACAGCAGAGGTAAACACAGCTGTAAGACACTTTTAATGTCCGTACTGCCGTTATTCTGTCATTACATTACAGTCATTTAAATTAAATGAAGAGACATATGGCTCGTGATGTACAGAAAATTCTTGGCTTGTGAAACTTAAAAAATTAATAAAAAAACAACAGAAATAGTATGAAAAGGGGACTGTCGTTACTTTATTAATTATTATTATTATTATTATTATATCAGACATTACATTGTTAGTGTACAGTTGTGGTTACAATACTTGCTTTCTATTGCTTTTATTTTAAATAATTATTTTTCATGCACCACTATGCCAAAGAAAATGACTTGTAAGTTTGAACTTGGCAATAAATCTGATTCTGAGCATTTTATTTTGGGTGATAAAGCCTGGCTGTTATTTTGGAGCTCTGCGGGTGGCCTCTGTGCTGGGGGTATTGTGCAATCCTGCATCTTGTTTATAGGATATTGAACAAACTGTGATAGACACAGAAATTGTGTGAACGTGCGAAACAACCCAACTGTCAGGAAATAAAAACATATTGAAGTGTCTGAACTCCACCAAATCAGTGAGGCAGTGTTGCCTGTAGGGACTGTAGTTTACTGTTGGGTCAACAAGTCCAGATTTGTTTTTATTTTAAGTTGTAAATAGTCTCTTATAAATTCTACTCGCTGTGCAATTTATATCTTGCTGTAGTTTTCAGTTTTGTATTTATAATTTCACAGTAGATTACAGATTCAGTTGGTACCTGAAACATTTTTCTGGCAGTAATGCAGGAAGTCGAGCTGATGGTTTTATCTTCTGTGTAAAAAGGGACAGCATCGTCTCCTGAAGACAGGGTTAGAGAGAACACAGATTTACAGTATTGCATGTTACATATGCAACTGTGTGTGTTGTACCGTATAAGCATGTTTCTCCATTAATGCTCTACTGATCCCCGGCATGTTCAGAAATACATGCTTTAGAATGAGCTCTCTCTCTCTCTCTCTCTCTCTCTCTCTCTCTCTGAAAGGGTTGATTAAATGTTTGTGTTATGTTTTAAGCTCCATGACTCTGAACTGTGAATGCGTTCAGAACAGCTCACTGCTTCTGTATCTCAGCGGTACAAACCCCCACGTCGCCTTTACTGTTACCAGTTTCACACTTGCAATGTCGCCTCTCCAGCAGGGTCAAAGGTCAGGGAGCAGCCACAAGCGATGCTGCCTGCAGCAGGAAGGAGGTTCAAGGGCGCCGCGGCGAAGCGTCCGCTGCCATCCGTCCATCCAGTCACTGACCTTCCAGACTGTTTGTGATTATCTGGACTGCTGCTGTTATCATGCTGTTAATAACAGTGTTAGACCCCGATCAGACAGAAAGCGCTTGCAGGCTTGAAAACGCGAGGCGCCCAGCGCTGCCTTTTTTGGTTGAATTCCCTGCAAGAGCAGTGTGCATGCGTTTTTTTTCAATCAGCTGTCCTGTCAATCAAGGATTATAGCACCAGCGGTCTGTAATCTTTTGTTTGCTTTTGATCACAACTATGTCTTTTGTCGCTTTTAATAAAAATAGTGGACAAGCGGAGGGCGCTTACTCTGGCCTTAAGGATGAGAGGCTTTTAAACATGCTGCAGACAGGAAAACGGAGATCCGTGTGGGTACATGAGACCCTCAGAAAGAGGAGACACTGCGGGGAGTACCACCAGTTGGTGCAAGAGCTTCGCCTGGATGATGGTCGGTTAAAGGCTTATTTTCGGACGAGTCAGGGTCATCACAAAAATGACCACCAACTACAGGGAGTCCATCGGTCCTGCCGAGCGTCTGAGCATTTGTTTGCAGTAGGTTATGTTGTTGCTTGTAAAGGTGTAGCTAATTTTAATTACTAGACTATATCCTATTGGGTAGTTTAACCTGTGATCATGAAGCATATAGGCATATTATTTGTTAATATTATTAAATATATTTTGGATATAATACCAATATTTAAATCTGAAAAGTAAATAATTAACTACCTTTGTCACCTTTAAAGTAAAAAGTAATTACCTCTGAAATGATGCATAGACACACCCACCTAGGCGTTGATAAGACAGGTTGCACTTATGAGCCTACCCAGGATTGGTGCTATGTCCTATTGACAAATAGGCTACCTGGAAATTTTCAAAATGAAGTGCAGACTCTTGCACTACCTACCTGTAACTGTAACTCCCTTTTAAATGACAGATTTCTCGCCACTGGAGATTCGTACAGAACACTTGCATTCAGTTACAGGGTTGGATTTTCTACAGTGGTGGGCATTGTGAAAGAGGTGTGTGAGGCAATCTGGTCATGTCTGGTTGGGGAATACATGCCATTTCCTGGAACAGGAGTGGAAGGCCATTGCAGAGGATTAAAAGAAATTGTGGAATTTTCCAAACACGTAACAATCCAAGCCCCAGCAAATAGTGGCTTCCAGTTTCAAAACTACAAAGGTTCTTTCTCTATTGTCCTCCTGGCTGTGGTAGGTGCCAGATATCGCTTCAGGACGATTGATGTGGGAGCATATGGCAAAAGCAGTGATGGAGGTATGCTTTCCTTATCAGCATTCTGCCGAGCACTTCATCATGACGCCCTTGACCTCTGAGCTGAAGGGGCCATGCCTTTGTTTTTGTGGCAGATGAGGCATTTCCTCTGCGGAGGAACATGATGAGGCCATTCCCTGGGCACAACTTGTCACCAGAGCAGAGAGTCTTTAATTACCGCCTGTCTCGAGCCCGGAGGATGGTGGAGTGTGCCTTCGGCATCCTGGCTTCACAATGGCGATTGTACAGGAGAGTCCTTGGAGTGTCACCTGAAGTCGTGGTGAAGGCAACATGCATTTTACACAACTTCATCCGCTGGCACACTGCCGATGAAGAGGACCCCAGCAGCACAGCCTTGTGCATTGAACCATCAGCTGGGATGCAGGATATCACCCAGGTTGGCAGCAACAACGCCTCCAGAGAAGCGCTGGCTGTGAGAGAGAAGTTTACCACCTATTTCTCCTCCTCTGCTGGTGAAGTGTCCTGGCAACATGTAGCTGTGTCTTAATTCACCAGCTATCATCTGAATACACAATACATCCAACATCAATATAAAAACAAAGGCTCTTTTAAGAGCCAATTCTATATTCAATGAGATATAAAATAATAAATAGCAGCATATTTATAAAACATCATCTAAAATATTGTGAATTGTTTTTGTGATGCGTTTCATCGGCAAACAACATGCCGACATGTAAAGTATAAACGAAACATGATGGAGACATGTCAGGTGATATAACTCTTTAATATTTTTAGGTCACGTAGAAATTGTATTAATAATTTAAAGGATTATGGAATTAATATTTCCAATCATTGAGTATCTGTGTAAAGGACTGTGTGTGCATGTAGGTAAGAGAAACTAAACAGTCATCGCTGTAGGAGCTGCATCACTTTCAGTCTAATGTTCGCTCTCTTCCTTGGTGGCAATCTCTTCATGACAGGGATCAAACTCAAAGAAATCCATCCTCATCAAGAGGTTTGTTCACAGCTTCAAGGAGTTCTCTTTGGTAGTCTGTAATCTCTGCTCTTCTCTTGTGACCTCTTCCACTCTCCACAGCCCGGGGAACACAAGGTGGAGACTGAATAGATGTTGATGCGGATAGTGGTGTAGGAGACAATGAGGATGGCTCAAAGGTCCCAGTCAGCAGGTCATCCTCCTTAGACAATGACATATGCACGTGTTAAACACCGAAACACAACAGTCATTTTGACATGTCACTACATCATTTACTCTGATCACACAAACCTAGACTCCCAAACTTGCTCCACCTACCTCAACTTGCGTCACCATAGGGAGTAGGAGAGATTCACCAGTAGACCTGCAGTCCTCACTGTCTATAGGCCTATCAAAGTTACAATTGGACGTCGTTGGTCTCCCCTTTACATGAGGCTCAAGAAATGACATAAGTTTCCATCTCCTCTGACTGCCTCCTTCTGAATCACTTCTTTTCTCCTTCTCCGCCCTCCTTTCTCTTAAATATTTGTCTCTCAATTATTTCCATTTTCGTCTGCATTCCTCCTCTAACAACACACAGTAAAAATAATGTTAGCTAACAAATGAATAACGTTAACCAACGGCTACCGCTTATCCGCACGAAAGCAGAAGTGAGACCACAAACTGTTTGTTACTGCTGTTAACGTTTAAACAGTTTAGTACAGTTTAAACCTATGAAAGCAACTTACCCGACATCATTGCCTCACTAACTTTCCTCCAGACTTGCTGCTTCTTGTTGATATTATGGTAGTTGCGGTTTGTAAAGTTATACAACTCCAGATAACCCGCAACAGTCACCACAAGTTTCTCCTCCATCGTTGCAGTCTTCGCACAATCCAAGCAGCTGTAAACTTCCATCATCACAACCGAGGGCCCGCCTCTCCTTTCATTCAATTGGAAAATGAAAAAAAATACAAATGCAAATGACGTCAGGCGCTTTTCTGCTCAGAGTTGAATTTTTCTCTTCCAAAACGCGAGGCGCCCAGGGCGCATAAACAGCACACAGGGCGCATAAACAGCACACAGGGCGCATAAACAGCGCACACTGACAACAGAGTAGAATTTAAAAAAGGCTCCTCTCACTGCATAAAACGCCTTCTGTTTGATCCGGGCCATAGCCTGCTGTCATTAACACTGTTTTTACATCCACACTAACCCGGCTACATTTGTAAACGCTTCTTTTCCTATCCTTTTCAGCCCTCAGTCAAGAATAAAACAACTCTTTCCTCCCGTCAAAACATAGCTTTTCTAAAAATTTCTAAAGTGTTTACATTTAAAACTGGCGTTCTGGCGTAGCGAACTTGTAACTCAAGACTGATCAGCTGTTTCTGCTGGCGCCGTCTTGCCCGGTTGCCAGAAGAAAAATCCCACTGACTTTGATAGCACCAACATGAGGTCAACATTTTATTTTGTCCAACACGAAATACATGCAAAAATAATGAAATTCCCATCAGCCTCAGGGGTACTAGCATGCGAACAAATGCTAAGCTGACTGGTAAACATAGTTATCATTATACCTGCTTAGCATCAGTATGTTAGCCTTGTCCATAGCCGCGTTTCCATCAACGTTTTTTAATGCACATTTTCAAGTATCTCATTAGAAAAGGTTGATGGCCAAACGTTTTTACGCTCACTTGAGGTGTTTTTTTCCCTTGTTGAAAAAGAGTAAATGCGCTAAATTGGAGATGGAAACACTTTTTCCGAATAAGTTCTGGCGTAGTGAACTTGTAACTCACGACCGATCAGCTGTTTCTGCTGGCGGCGTCTTGCCTGGTTGTGCAGAGTTCTGCACGCCTGCCGAGAATTTCACGCACCTCGCGGCTGGTAACGCTCATTTATGCTGAGAAAAGAGGTTGATGCAAATCTCGGCAGGTAGCCTTCATCAGCTGTTCTGCCAAATTATGCATTCACGTCTTAAAGGTCCTTTTCAGATCCTTTGTTCTGCACACTGATCAAACGGAGTTATCACCGCATATTTTTGCTGAATCTCAATGAATGCTGCTTCTACTGAGTGTAATAAAATATTAACGACTAATCGTATCTTAGGGTGCATTCACACCTGAAGTTCGGTTCATTTGGTCCGGACCAAGTGAAAAAATACACTGTTGCATTTTAGTTCTGGTCCGGTTCATGTTCACACTGTAGCTTTACAAATGAACCAAGACAAGTAACCATGGCAATACACAGACGTACAGGTAACTTGTTGATTGGACAGTTTTGGCGATTGTCATCCTGCATCATCAGGATCCACGTGGGGAAATCAAACACTGGTGACTGAAAGAAGTTTATGCAGCACTTTAATTCCTCTGATGTGTACCGCAAAGAGCTCATGAAGAATAATTTATTATAAGCATGATTAGTAATTTTAGACCGCAGATTGACCACATTGACCTGTTATGAATAATAACGTAAAAGTAGGACAGTAATAATTCAGGGCTTATTAGCCTATAGCCTACTGTGGTATCACTGTCACCAATGTTTTATGGACTTAATGAACTGACAGGGTAAACGAAGTGCTACTATTTGCCCACTTTCTTTTAACAGCCGTGCTTTAATAACCGCGCTGACAAGTATACTTACCAAATCATTTTCATAAACATAGCATGGCTTACACTGATCAATTATAAGATTGCTGAACACATTTTGCTGTCAGCAGATGGATTTATTAGTTTAGCTTTGGAAATAATTCTCAGATCACGTCTCTGCTATCATAAAATCCTGTGGTTGGTTCGATTGCATTCACACTGCAAGCGAACCGCACCAGAGTTTGAAAGTGTACCGCTTTTGGTGCGCACCCGAGTGTGATTGCTGGATTCACACCTGCCCAAACGAACCGCACCAAGGGGGGAAAGCGAACTCCAGTGCGATTCAACCGAACTGAATGAGGCAGGTGTGAAAGCACCCTTAATTTCCACATGAGCATTTAAAAGGGGAAATGCAGCCTGCACACAGTTAATGCACTCCACTAAAATCAGTCATCAGTGGCAAAAAAGCTTGGTATCCGAGCACTAATTTAACTCAAGGCACCTTCAGCAGTGTCTTATCTCCATTAAAGAGTCTTTTTATTACACTGATGGACGGAATTAAAATGTGCAGTGAAGTGATAAAGAGACAGGAAACTGAGCATCTGTGTTATTGTACATATTTGTAGTTGTTTGGCACTTTTTTGTGTTTCGTTTATTTTACCAAAAAAAACAACATCCTCCTCTGCTGATAGAGAGAACCAGGAATCTGGAGGAGGGGGCTGTTCTTGTTGTCAGCTGCCCAGCCAGAGGGCCTCACAGCTGGGGGACACTTCTGCACAGCCCTGGGCCAATCCTGGAGCTCCAGAAAAGACCCAGTCTGTGTGCTGTGTGTATTCATTAGCAGGACATATCAGTCCAGGCACTCCGCACTATGTGCTTGCCTAATGACATTCCCATCAGCCTCCACTGTACTTTCGGTTTAGCATGCCAATATGCTAAACTAAGATGGGGAACATGATAAACAGAATACCTGCCAAACATCAGTAACATAGCATTGTCATGTTAGCATGCTGACATTGGGCACAGCAGTGCCTCAGAGCCACTAGCATGGCTGTGGACTCTTAGTCTTGTTTCCCTATAATAGTTTAGTGGCAGAAATGACCCAGTTTACCTCGTCACGTCCTCCAAATGCTGTCATATTTTTCCAGTCGGGGACAGTTTTGTCTACCCACAGGGATTATCAGAGTTTAATCTGATGTCTTCCTTGATAAAAATAAAAATCTTAATTTGGTTTGCTTTATTATTAATCACTTGGTGATCCTCTGATGTTTCAGGAGGATGTAGCTAGCCTCAAATACCTGCAAAACTAATGACATTCCCTTAGACCTCAGCTGTGCTTAGTGTTCCTTTGCATGTTAGCAGTCAGTGTTGTTTTGACAGACAGACTAGCAGGCTGCGTTAAGGTGTGCAACATTGATGTGATTATAAGTTAAAAAGATGTATCGTACTGTGCCGGAAGTTAAAATTATAACATGTAATTATAGTCCAGTTGGAAAGTCCAGTAAGAATTCAGCAGACGTCTACTTATGTCCATACTGCAACAAAGCGAGGATGAATCTGATGGCCACTGGCAGGAGTGGCTGAAGGTCGCTACAAGGATAACACACCAGAATCTCCGACTGAACTGTCAGCAGTCAAGTTGCAATGTGGGTAACGTAGGTGTCGAGGATTGGAAAGAAATAAGGATGTGTGGAATAAAAAAATGCAGATAGATTGAGTGAAGAAGTGAGTGCAATACTGCTAAAGATCAGAAACACATTCTCATGTCTTACTGATTTTACTCACATTTAAAACACTCAACACTTAATAAATCATTAAGGTGGATGCTCTTTTATAGTGCTCTGGCTCATATTCAGACTCTCTCTCTCTTCTGTCCATCCAAGTTCTTCCATCTGTTCGCTCTCCCTCTTTCTCCCTCTCCATCTCTAACCTCTCCTCTTCCTCCGACGCTCTCTCGTACACTGAGCGCGCTCAGCAGGGAGTGTTAGTCATGAGATTGTCTCATTAATATCTGAGAGAAATGGCTAATGAGGGTTAATAAGACACCCAGCTGGAACGACAGGGTAGTGCGTATGCATGTGTGTTCAGGGTGTATTCGGTGAGGCTTCGGGGTTTAATGTTCTCTTCATCTCATCACCGGAGATGAATGATTGAGGAAATGGAGGGAAAAATGTTAATAAAAATGCAATTAAAGTTAACAGTAATGATTCTACTGCAGATAGCTTGAGCCAACTGATCTGGATGATCGGACGCAAGCGGTTCTATTCAGCTGATTGTCACAGTCAAATGCTCTTCGTTAGTTGCCTTGGCAACTCTGGAGGCAATTAAAAGGCTCATTAGTGATCTTTTTTGTTTCTGTTTGTTACTGCTCTGTATGTACACTTCAATGGGTATGGTTATACTGATTAAATATCACACGATTATATTAGACAAGATGAGACGGAGTGACATTATGTTAGATAAAACAAAAAGATTAAACGACAGAAGTCAAACCCGCATTTGATGAGATTAGATCAGGTTAGACTACATTAGATGAGACGATACAGTGAAAGATTATTTTATGATATTATAATAGATGAAACAAGAGTAGGCTAGAGATGAAACGTAGAGCAGACAAACTTAGATGAGGTATGATGTAACAATGTTAAATTGACTGTGATAATAGGGGCTTTCATGTGGTAGAAACACAGCCGGAACAATTCAGTAACCTTAATGTAAAACTAGTAAATATTATAACATTAACAACTTTAAACCTTTAATTCCCTGCATTCTGGAGACATGTTCTGCACCAATTTATGGTGGAAAGGTCTTTATTCGGTGGAGGCAGATGGGCGCCCACCCTGAGCCATGGTTCTGCTCGAGGTTTCTGCCTCTTAAAAGGAAGTTTTTCCTTGCCTCTGTCTCCTAGTGCTGCTCTTGGTGGGAACTGTTGGGCTTCTGTAAATAACATCATAGAGTACGGTCTAGACCTGCTCTTTATGAAAAGCGCTGTGAGATAACTGTTGTTGTGATTTATATAAATAAAATTGAATTTAATTCATATACAGGGGACCAAAATTAAGGTGGCAGGTAACAATTCAAAATATAATGGAATATAATGCAGTAATCAGCTTTTGGACAAAGCATTTGTTTCTTCTATATTTCAGTTGCATTGCATGTTTTCTTATTGTGCCTTGTTTCATTTGTTATTTAACATTTCTTGTTGCTGTTTTTCAGAACATTTTTAATAATAGCTTTCAAAAAGTCCCCAGCGTAAATAACACCTATCTGTCAGTATTTTTAAATGTCCCGCATTTCCCCCATCCAGGCTGCGATTGGTCGGTTTACGGAAAGTGACATTGACGAGCAACATTCAGCT